GTGGGTGGCCATGGTGGAACTCTGGGAGACGCTTGGTGATGACGGTCCAGAAGATGGCGGCAGGGAGCAGGTAGTAACAACGGCGACGGCTCGGACAATAGATGGCAAAATTTTCATGGAACCGGGCACACCAGAAGCCTCATGCCATTTTTATCACCCTTATCCAGGAGTGGCAGCAGCAAAGGAGTTGTACTCAGTTATACGCAAGAGGGCAGAGACTGAGTCTTCCTGATCTGGATCGGTCGCCGAGGACGGCGACACACCGAGGGGGAGGCATGTCAAAGAGGGAAAGGAGCAGGGAACGATCTACTGGCGAGATCCCAAAGAAGAGGAGGTCATGTTGAACTCGATGTGTCGATATGATCAGGATTACGGTAACCCCCTCTGTGGGTAGCGAGACAGATCAAAGGTACTGATATTTGCCCTAGGCGATGGAGAAGACCCGCCAATTCCCCCAGGCTAACTAGAGGACCTATAAAAGAAAGGCCAATGGCCCAGGACTGATCCTGCAGTTTTTTTTTGTTTGAGGTTCCTTTGAGCTTTGCCTCACGCTCTCCCTCTCTCTTGCCCAGGGGTCTCGCCTGGGTTTTCTTCCTGCTCCTGCTCCGTTCCAGCTCCAGAAGCTGGATTAATCCTCTTTATGCCATCGAATTGTACTAACTATTCTTGTCATCAAATGTTGTCGGGTTTTTTTTGTTCCTAACAAATTTGTTTTTTTTTCTTCGTGTGGTGTCCATTCGAAGGAGTCTAACACACTATCCCAGGTTGTACATGGAGGGTGAACCAATTGGCCTTGTAAGCGAGTACTTCGACTGAGCACCAGGCGATCTTTTACCGGTGGTCCGTCCTTATTCCTATCAACCTCGTCACCGCGAAGGGTGCCAGGAGGTTCAAGCCGGGAAGGAACCAAGTGTTCGAAAGGAGGAAAGAACACTTGGTTACGGTGAGAGATATCACAGAACTGATGGTTGTGTTGAGGAAACAACCGAGTTCGAGGACACCCAGCATGAGCCGTCAAGAGGCTGAGGATGTGCTGATGAAGGATGAGGAGCACGAAACGCCTGAAGAGGTGAGCAATTCGCAAGAATTTGGAAGTATGCAAGGGAGGAGTGGTCCAAGTTTGTACGAGTGGTGCAGGAAGCGAGAGAAAGGGCGGTGTCAGTACTAAGTAACGCAAAGTTGACCAAGCAAATCAGGACAGAGCTAGAAGAAGGATGGAATCAAGTGAAGGAGGCAGTGGAAGACCTAGAAAGGAGGGTACTCTGTCACTCCATGGTGCCTGAGGGGCTAATGAGAGAGATCATAGCTACCCTCGCACAAAGGGTAATTGAATCAGAACAGGAGTGGAGAGAGTACGTAAGAACTGTAGAGAAGGATGGAGAGCTGATTAACGAGTTATGCAAACATTTAGATACCGATGTTTTCCAGCTGAAAAGGACAGTGGATCGAGATGCGGCAAGGCCACCAATGTGGATGAGCAGGCACTGCTGCCGGGTAGG